TGAAACAGATGTGTCAGACTCCGTGGTGTCTTTTATTTCGAGTTCAGTAGGATATATCGAATGAATGAATGAATGAATGGGAATAGATATTGTTAACTGACAAAATATCGTCCAATACATGTATCTAAATTTTGACTTTTTTCATGTAGAAGTTTTCAGTAAACCCTGCTTTATTGGAATACAAAACAGGTCGGCCAAAAAAGGAGTACTATTAGTACCCATGGGAATTTCAATAAATTATTTGTAAACACTAAAAAAGAATTAGTATGTCCTGTTCTTGTGCTAGATTAATAGAAAGCTACAGTATTTTCTTCTTTAAGCCAAATTTACCTCGAAATCTTATCGATTAAAGCCGTGAACATGATCTATGAAAAAAACCATAGCTGTAAATGAAATGAATTCATTTCATTTTTTAAGGAGATCATAGACACATGAAAGATTAATTTTGTCAATATCTTTGGATGCAATTAAATTTACGAAAAGCAAAATAGGTTTAAAATTCAACAGCATGCTAATCGAGTGTGGATTCTTGTTCAATAAATACAATATGTATGGTGACATATTTCTGCCCCCTACATGCAAGATAAATTATGTTAACATGCAATATAATTATGTAGACATGCAACTTATTTATGTCAACATGCAAAATAATTATGTTTACATGCAAGTAACCAATCTCTTTAGAGAATCTAATTTTAGTATTGGTAAACTTACTTACCAACGCCATTATATGACATCATATAAGCAAGATACAACAGGATTATGTTGACATGGGACTTATGTTAACATGTTAGATAACTATGAAGACAAGCGACTAATTTATGTTAACATCTGATAGAATTATGTAAACATGCGACTTATTTATGCAACATGCAAGATAATAATGTTAACATGCGAGTTTTATGTCAACATGCGAGTTATGTATATTAACATGCATGTTGACATAAATAAGTTGCATGTTGACATTAATAAGTTGCATGTGCCATAAATAAGTCGCATGTTAACATAAATAATTTGCATATTAACATAATCATCTTGCATGTTGTCATAAATAAGTCGCATGTCTACATAATTATGTTGCATGTTAACATAAATAAGTCGCATGTTGACATAAGTATATAATTATGTCAACATGCGAGTTATGTATATTAACATGCATTTTAACATAAATAAGTCGCATGTCAAAATAATTATTTTGCATGTTGACATAATTATCTTGCATGTTGACATACTTTTCTTGCATGTTAACATAATTTATCTTGCATGTAGGGGGCTGAAATATGCCACCATAAATATGACAGACAAAGCAATCTTACCGCATAGCATATCTGATTCATTAAGAATCTTAAGTTGTTTTCCTTTCAAGCGTTCTGGAGCATTGCATACAGCAAAATCATGCCAGGGATCAATTTGAATTTTCGTGTCATTTCGCAGGTATAAAATCCATTTCACGTGACAATCACACACAAAAGGGTTCGATGAAAGAAACCTTAAGGCAAATAATCATATTAGTGCAATTTATTTTACAAAGAGAATATGATAGGGTACAAGAATATAATAGAAGGTTTATGTAAATAAATACTGTCGGTTTTTATAGTAAAATTGATTTTGAAATTACTTTTAACATATAACAGAACAAAATGTGTTTTTGTCTATGAACACCTGTCTGTAAGTCTGCCCACAAAACATCTCTTAAGGGATTTAACATACTTTAATGAAATAAGTTGTGTCTCAAAGCTAGGCTCAATATGAGTGAAAAAAATCTCGAAGGGACGTTAAACAAACAGAGCAGGGATTATCGAACTTTATGGGTTTCGAATTGATTGCAGTTTTCTCCCCTCCCTGTACTATCTATAACATATTGCTGATATTGATTTTAAGTACTTTCTATTGGGGAAAATATTCCTTTTAACAAGGAATAATAACCTCGATCTGCTGACGAAAACATATAAAGATTGCTGGATGTTTATTTGAGTTCGTGTAAATCAGGAATTACTAGTATGTCTACAGCTTTAATTTTTCATTTGGTTGTTGTTTATGTAGACATGTGTATGTACTGACAAAGAAACGTAATTACTTGAGTTTATTTCTTTATTAAAGATTGCTATATACATTCTCTTGTCTTTTTATCTCAATAATTTGTTTGAAGAAAAAAAAAATAGCTTCAAAGGACGCCTCCAATTCTGATTTTGTTCTTATGAAACTAGTTTGTCTGAATAAGTGAAATATTTTTGCTATTCTCAACTTTAACTTGTTGATTTCTTTACTGTATACCTTATAAGCTATGGTTTTTAACAAATGTACGTAAGAAATGCATTCACTGTAAATGCATCATAATTGGCGTGAAGGACTGATTATTTAGCGATGTACTTGATTGAACGGAGGCTGCTTCCCGCGAAGTGTGCTCAATAGAAAACCCAACAAAATATAATACGTTTGCAGTATTTTGTAACCGATATGAATTTGAAGAACTTAGCGGCTCTACTTAAGTCATGCACTTTATTGTCTTCATTGTATTCAAGTAACTTACACTTTCTGAAGCTTAACCAAATCGTTGAAAGCTGTTTCCGCTATTTTTGTTATCTTGTTGTTGTTCAAAGATCTAAATATTCCCAAAAAGGCAATGGTTAATATCAAGTAAAAAAAGTAGTTAGGCTGATACATAAAAACATAATAAATAACATGATAATGATAAAGTTTATTGATTAAAAAATCATTCATGTATAATGAATGAAACAAAATCAGCGTGCAACCAAAAAAAATTTCCGCTTTATCAAGAGTTTGATCAGATTTTCGGCCGCCAGGGGGTTAACCTTGAATTGAAGCTTAGTAAATATGTGTTTAAGAAAATCGTAAATATCAATCAATAAACATCTTCAAAAGTACATTAAGTTTGAAATTATTGTAATGGGTAGCGTATTTGGCCAGGCCTATCATCACTGAATCTGAGGGGATTTTGGAAAATGGACTCTTCCAATAAGCTGATCACCCCTATGGTAGGTAGAATAAGCCAAGTGTATAAAGAAAAGACGCTGGCAGCTGCCAGGCCTTTTTCGAACTGAATTAGTTGAAGTGTCGACTGAGAGAAGAAAGAAGCTGCTGAAGACGAGAGGTAAATCAAAGAGCCCTCTTAAGGAGGGATTCTTGTCTGGTTTCTGACTAGACGAAATATTCCAAGTACATTTGCTTGTATGTCTTATAAAATTAGCTGTAATGTGTTTAAAAGATCATATTTTTCTTTACTCATCATGATATTACAATTTTAAATAGAAATGGTAAACTGAGTTTGAAATCCATAAGGGACTATATTTTTGGCGTAACTACGGCGTATGAAAATATCTCCTTTTCTGCCTATCAAAATCACTTACAGAACATTACATGTTGTTAATTTTTTTAAACAATCAAAGACTTGAAGAAATTTTGATATGTAACTTAAATTATAAATAATGCCCTAAAGTTTTAAAACATAGCAAATAAAAATGATTTTCTAAACAAACTTCAATCTTGTTAGCTTTTGAAAGCCTCCAACCTTAAAACAGATTTGAGCAAAAAATCAGTAAAAAGTGTGTTTTCTCTCTTATTAAACGGTCAAAGCTTTTTGTTTTTGTATCATTTTGAATATTTATATGACTACTTTACCATATGTAAAAATAAGAAATATTTAAATATAAGAAGTAACTAATATATCCTTAAAAATTAAGAAAAACAGAGGAAATCCGGATTAGCCAATATCTATTTAAGTTAAATAATGTCAATTAATTTGGTAGAATCATCTGATAGACCCGATATGGTAACATCTTTTTGTGCAAAAAGAAAAACATTTTATCTTTTAAAATAGAAGTAGGCATCACATGATTAGCAACAGTAATTTTTTACTCTAAATGTCAAGAAAAAAAGATAATGACCTTGACCTGACCTTGTGTCTAAAATAAAACGGTCAAATTTAATCTAATTGATACCATCACTTAGTGATATTGTCTTCTTGAATCTAAGAAAATTTCATTAATTTTTAAATAAAAGAAATATGAGTAGAATAAGAGAAGAATCCCTCCTTAAAGAAATAAACATAAGAGAGCAAAGATTGGAATTAAAAGCGGAAAGAGAGCAGTCTAGAGGAATTGTGGTGAGGTACCGGGGCGAAGTAATTCTGAATAAGGGTGAAAGAACCTGGTACTTCACAGAACAATAGGAACTCTGGCTGTTCCAGGAACACAGTGCAGGTTACCTTGCTCTGGAACCCTGGCCTACCATTTCAAATTATTTGTACATAGATCTAATCAATTACAACGCAGACAGAGTAAGAGGAAAAATATATAGAGAGAACTCATGTTTACACGTTACATTAATTTATAGAAATTGACTCCTGCAACAATACATTGCATAAGGTCAGTCGGTTTGTTAAGAAAAGCATGGTGTATCTTGGCTGTAATTACAATACTTACAAGTATGTCAGATTAACCAAGCCGCAAAAAGCTGCCGATGAAACCTGTGTAATCTTGTTGTAGCTTAAATCCCTAAACAAATCGTAACATTATATATATATATATATATATATATATATATATATATATATATATATATATATATATATATATATATATATATATATATATATATAAATGGTGTAAAACACAAGTACTATTAATGTGTTATGCACATAATTTTTGTTTTAAATATAACATTATAACATTTTACTTGAAGTACAATTATGTTTACATAAAATATTAGCATCTGCAACTTTTCAAACATGTTTTAAAGACATACTAGAAGCCCATTAAAGTTGGGATATGTACATTTGTTATGTCAGGTTGACAAGCAGACTTGAATTGTTTACTAATGTTATTTTACACATGGAATTGACATTGAAAATAAAATGTTTCCTCAATGTAGAAAAATAAGTTTCAACATTAAATATTCTGGAATTTAATTATAGAAATTAATGTTTTCTCAAATCTAAAATTTCTATTTTAATCACCATTCAGGGTACATTATTGCGCTTGTTAAACATTAACATTAACAGAGAACGTTGATGGTGCTATCTCTGTTATATTGTTCCTGAAGAGATTTCTATGTAAACAGTTAAATATAAGGAGAACAAGCTAATAACCAGCAAATGTAAACGATAGGCATCGAAAAAGTGCATTATACATAGTCCTTTCAAAGAGGCAAAATTCACAATGATAACAGCGCAGGAACCCTTTTCTGTTGTATTTTTTATGCCCCTGGATCGAAAGATCCCGGGAGTATATTGTTTTTGTCCTGTCTGTCTGTTTGTCAATTTGTCTGTTTATCTGTTTGTCTGTCTGTCTGTTGTCAACTTTAACCTTGCCCATAACTTTTGATTGGTTGGAGCTATGACTTTCATATTTCACATGTCTATTCCTTGTGACAAGACCTTTCTTTTGGTACCATCATATTTGACCTTTTGACCTTGACCTTGGAGTTTGACCTACTTTTGAAAAACTTTAACCTTGACCATAATTTTTGAATGGTTGGTGCTAGGGCTTTCATACTTCACATATGTAATCCTTGTGACAAGACCTTCCTTTGGATACCAACCACTTTGACCCTTTGGCCTTGACATAGGAGTTTGACCTACTTTCGAAAAACTGTAACCTTTTGAATGGTTAGTGCTAGGGCTTTCATACTTTACATATGTAATCCTTATGACAAGACCTTCCTTTGAATACCAACAACTTTGACCTTGACCTTGATGTTTTACTTACTTTTAAAAAACTTTAACCTTCGCCATAAATTTTGAACAGTTGTAGCTAGGGCTTTCAAATTAAACATTTTTTATCTTTTGGCCTGGATTTTGACTTGCATTTGAGAAACTTTAACTTTCGCCATAAGCTGCCATGCGGGGGCATCAGTGTTTCACAAACACATCTTGTTTCTTTAATGTTAAGCATACTGATTTAAATTATCTTTCGCTAATTCAAGCAGGTCAATGTGACAGAAAGCAACATAGCTGGAATGAAATTTTGAATTATATTTACTTATATGTAATCAAAACCACACTGTACTTACAATGACTTTAGATTCACCAGTGGGGAGAATGCAGTAGGTGATATCTTGGTTATGTTGTTAAGGTAAAGATCTCTATGCAAAGAATGCAGGATAAGAGTTCACTGATGTGCTGCGTATGAGGTAAGTGAACATATTTAAATCCAGTCAAACCTGTCAAAGCGCCCGCCTGTATTTAATGACCACTAAATTTTCCCAGTGAAATTTTCAATATATTTTAACTGAATTCAGCGACTACCTGTTTATACAACACGCGATCATCTTTTTCGTCCCAGCACGGAATTCATTGACTTTCATCCTTGCATTTGATAACAAAGTAATAAAATGCTTACTTTTTGCCCCCACTTTGCAAAACATACTGATTAAATAAATATTTCAAAGTAGTGACTTGGTATCAAATAGAAGTTTATTAAAATAAGAAACATTTAAAAGTTACTGTAGATTAACTCTGAAAAAGTTTCGACAAGAATTAAAAAAAAAATCTATATACGTTTATGCCAAAAAGGTTCTGTGTTTTCTTTGTGATAATCATAGTGTTTTTCCCCTTTCTTGCATGACCTTGTCCTGAGTAGTTGTATCCTTCACACTCTCGTAAAGTGTGAACCATGAAAAAAAAAAGATTTTTTGGATTTTCTTTCAAAAAAATAAAAAGATAATAAATAAGTTTACAATTAAGACAAATAAGAATAAAAACAATTTTTACAAAACGAAAGTTTATTGAACATATTTTACCAAGAAGAATGAAATTGATTCAAAACTTATGATGAAGACAGGGGACAGGAATACAGATTATCAAGTACATGCTTTACCATTTAGAATTCATGAATGTAGTTTGAAAATTGCAAGAATATGAATCCCTGAATTATGAGACTATCTGTCCTATGTGACCATTTAGGATTTCCCTTAATAGGTCGCTTAATACATGTTTGGCTGTATTTATACTTTCTGGGAGATTAATAGAAGCAATACGTCTGATTAAGAATATCTCAAGTTCTAGACCACAAGTAGAACACCTTCTTGTTTAGTAAAAAAAATCATTGAAGCAAGCTAAACGGGTAGAGTATTTGAACTTGATAAAATTGCTAACATACTACTCAATATCCCCCTATGTAAAAAGAACAATTGCCTAATCCGTAAAGAGTCAATCTAGTATGCAATCTTGCCAAATCAGTTGACTTTGTGGATGTCTTGGTGTCAAAACGAGACCCTCAAATTGCCTTCTTGCTTGCAAACCAGATGTAATGGTTTAATTTGCATCGTAGATATCGGCTGTAAAGATCAGTTGGTAGAGCGTCTGACTAGTGATGCTGGGGTTCCAAGTTCGATTCAAGGTCCAGCCATATAATTTCTTCTCCCCTGTTACGAATTTGGTGCCGTTCAGCACCCCTAGACTTGCAGGTGAAAGTCCTACCAGGGGAAAAATAAGAATGGGTTGTGTCTTTGAGGGTGAAGATAATATATGGAGGGAGGTATGTAATAAGTTAGTTCGTAGACATCGGTCTGGGTAGCTCAGTCGGTAGAGCCTGACTAGTGGTGCAGCATTCACGGGTTCGATTCCAGGTTCAGGACTTAAACCATGGAGGAGGCTGCGCAATAGCATAATGCCATCGAGAGCACAGTTGTCTTTGTAAATGGGGAGGGGGTTCACCTTTAACCTGAGTTTGGCATATTTAAGATATTGGGTAAATGTGTATCTATTTCTAGTGGACCAATGACGTAAAGAAGGCGAGGCGAGTATAATCTCTAATGAATAAACGCAATTTATCACATTATCAGTGAGGACACCTCAAAGAAAAAATCGTGTAGGACAAGAAATAGACATCAAATAATTGCAATTTTGAAGCTATTATAAAAGATAGGAGTTTAATGTCAATAGGGCGACATATCATCGCTTCATTAAAATATTAGCTAATACTTTTGCGTGTATAAAATACTTACAGAATTTCCAGTTTTGTTAAGCCAGAAGAAAACATTGATGGAGTTATCTCTATTATACTGTTGTTGTAAAGATCTCTAAATATGATAGAACAAGAGGCCCAAGGGCCTTAACGGTCACCTGAGTATAATACAACAATTGAGAGGATCATAGAGTATAAAATCAACTGAAAGACGAAGCTTTGTTGCCCAAAAGCAAGAGAAGTAGGAAGATCAGGATCAACAAAATAATTGTTCTAATATTCAGTAACAACTCATAAATTAAGTTCTAATCTGTCCCCCTCTCATCACTATCACCATGCAGACAGTTAACAAACTATTAGTGCTTCTGTACTATCTTTAACGCCATAATATAACCTCTCGCATTGACCTCTCTTGGTCTTTGAAGAACATTTAATAAGATATTTTTGTTTCATCTTTATTTATCTATTATTTACAGGTCTACCTGATCATAAAAACTAAGAAAGTACTTTTTGTATCATAAAATAAAAATTCTAGCATAATTCTCTTATTCTATTTTAAACCTTTCAAATACATTATTTACAGTGATTAATTATCAAAGGTGAATGGAAAAGGGTAATAACTTCTCTCAGTACAATAAATATTAATAGAGTCCTGCCCAGGACCTGATTGCTTGATCAAATCAAAATCTGGTAAAAATACCCTTGCTTATTAAAACTTTTACTCAGTTTGCCTTTGATATGCCCAGAAGCAGAGAAGAATTTCACATGTATAATACATTTTCACTACAGATTCAACAAAGCCCTACCAGAACCCATGACCCAGGGTCAAGAAATTTACAAATTTGGAAGAGTTACCCCCAGCATCATAACTATGCACTTAAAGAATTAACACATTTCCACTATTATCAATACCCCCCCCCCCCCGATAATGCCAGAACCCCTGACCCTGGAATGGGACCATAAGATTTTAAATTTCTGTTAGAAGCACCCTTATTCATTATAACTATGCATTTTGTTTATCTGCTCAACACTAAGGAGCAGACATGATTAATTAATAGAATTAATGCATTATCATTATATTATCAATAGAGCCCCATCCTTACCATGCTTACACCAGAACATATGACACAGGAGCAATGAAACTCAAAGTTCTGAATGAAGCACTCCTGCTCATCATAGCTATACACTTAGTTCCTTTGCTTTATAACCAGAAGCAGAAGAGAACATTTTCGAAGATATTATGCCTTTTCACTATATAATCAATAGAACCCCCCTTCCACCAGAACCCCTGACCCTTGGGGAATATATGTCACAATTTTGGAAGAGGCATCATTGCCTACCATAATCATGCAATTAGTTTGTTAAAATAATCTCCAGGGGCAGATAAGAAGATTTTCAAAGTATTAATGCATTTTCACTACATAATCAATAGAGCCCCGCCCTAACACTAGAACCCCTGACCCAGAGGCCATGAAATTCACAATTTTGGAAGAGGCATCCTTGCTCATCATTACTATGTACTCAGTTAGTTTGTTTATTACCCAGGAGCATAGAAGAAGATTTTCAAGGTATTAATGATTTTCACTATATTATCAATAGAGCTCCATCCTAACACCAGAACCCCTAACACAGAAGCCATGAAATTCATAATTTTGGAAGAGGCATCCTTACTCATCATAACTATGTACTCAGTTTGTTTAATACCCAGGAGCAGAGAAGAAGATTTTCAGAGTATTAATGCATTTTCACCATATAATCAATAGAGCCCCACCCTAATACCAGAACCCCTAACCCAGGGGCCATAAAATTCATTATTTTGGAAGAGGCATCCTTGCTTATCATAACTATGAACTCAGTTATTTTGTTTAATACCCAGGAGTAGAGAAGAAGATTTTCAAAGTATTAATGCATTTTCACTGTATAATCATTAGAACCCCACCCTAACACCTGAACCCCTGACCCAGGGGCCATGAAATTCACAATTTTGGAAGACGCATCCTTGCTCATCATAATAATGCATTTAGTTTGTTTCCTGAATACCCAGGAGCAGAGGAGAATTTTTTCAGGAATAGTGCATTTTCACTATATAGTCAACAGAGCCCCGCCCTAGCACCAGAACCCCTAACTCTGGGGCCATGAATTTCAAAATTTACATAGAGGGCTCAATGCTTATTACAATTATGCCAACAGTTTGACTGCTTGATGTCCAGGAGTAAAGAAGAAGATTTTTAAAGATTGCATTTATTCTGATGGTTTTGGCCCCACCTCTCAGGCCCCAGGGGGGCAGGGGCCAAGAATTTCACAATTTTTGTTCCCCTTAACCCATGCTATATGCCAAAATTGGTTGAAACTGGTTCACTGGTTCCAGAGAAGAAGCTGAAAATGTTCAAAAGTTTACAAACGACGGACAACGCACGACGACGGACGAAAAGAGATAGCAATAGGTCACCTGAGTGACTTAGGTGACCTAAAAACAATGTTAATTGAAACTAGTAAATTACATTTATGTACATGTACATAAGCAAGATATATAGCACTAAAAGAATTTTGATAAACAATTAAATTTCCAAGAATATCGAACATATACTAGAAAAGTTTTCTATTTTATTTTTCATTTAAATCTATACTTGATAAAACCTAAGTACTCAGACACTAATGGTTCTAAAGTTTCAGCTCAATATGTAAATACTTACAGCTTTTTAATATTTTTTAAGCCAGTGAAGGTCCCTGGTTCCATCTCTTTTATCATATTACTGGATAAAGTTCTAGACAAAACACAGAAAGCAATTCTTTGCATAGAATAGGAAAACCAGAAGTCTCTGACAAGACTGTAGCTCTACTGGTTGTACTTATAAAGGAAGATAAAAGCAGCACTTGAACTTGAAACTTTGCAACAGCAATAAATAGAATAATGATCCTTGGTTTAGTCTCTTTTGTGGCAAGATTTATTGCAATCAGACTAAAACTGTAGGAGGAGTAGCCTTTTAAAACAATTTTACAGAAATTTCGATTTAAGTAACCATGGCAACCTCATTCAACTAAATCAAAAAACAATAACGACAATTATGTTTCTCAGAAGTCTACTTGGATGCCATGTTATACTGAAATCAGACCAAAAGTGTAGGAGGAGTAGCGTTTTGAAAGTATTTCAAGGAAATTTCTATTTTTTAGTAACCATGGCAACACAGTTCATCGAAATCCAAAACCGATATACAGAATTATGTATCTTAGTGTAGTCTACTTGTGTGCCAAGTTATATTAATATCAGACCATAACTATAGGAGGAGTAGCGTTTTGAATGTATTTCCCAGAAATCTCTATTGTTAGTAACCATGGCAACACAGTTCATCGAAATCCAAAACCGATATACAGAATTATGTATCTTAGTGTAGTCTACTTTTGTGCCAAGTTATATTGAAATCAAACCAAAACTGTAGGAGGAGTGGCGTTTTGAGAAATTGTTTACAGACGGACGAACGGCTAGACGGACGACGGACACCTTACTATCGCATAAGTTATTCTGGTCTCTGACCAGTAGAGCTAAAAACTACTTGACCTGTCCAAAATGGACAAATATCCCCGCTGAGTTTTTCAGAAAAGGAGCCAAGTCACTTAACATATTTTGTGGATCTAACAGGTGCTCACAATTTGTTTAAACATTTATAGTGAAAATAATTGCTCGTTATTTATTTTAATGAATGATAAACTAAAGCACAGCCTAATAAAACATCAATACTAATAGTTATATTGTTTTATATTAGACTGAAAAAATAAATTGCAACTATCTGTCATCTTTGTGAGACATGATACTTTGAAAATTGTTTGTTGAAAAAAAAATCATATCATACAATATCTAATTAATCTCGATAACCAAATTCACTTTAAAAAACAAAAGACTGGTCATCCTGTTACTATGTATTTTAATTTGACAGACTATAAATTACAATTACGAGAGTTAAAGAACAGAGATCTTTAATTCTTCTGCCCAATTTCCAGATTTAGATTACACATGCTTGATTAGTGATGTTCTAACAGTTTCCCATACTGTACACATTATAATCTTTAATAGGATGTATGCCCACTCATTACTCCTAAGGGACAGGATGGGTTTACACTATTTGCTGTGTAATGCACTGTGAGTCTGTAGTACAATAGAAAATGCATATTTATGTCATTCGTCATTCTGTTAAAGACAAAGATTTTTTGCTTAAATTTGTTACAAAGTTTTATATAATGAGAAAAAAACTGTGTAATCTTGATGTAACATTTTTTAATAAGGTTACTGCATGACTCTTAGATTTGTAGGGAATATCAACCGAAAAACTTCTTTTAATACTTGGTGATTTTTTTAAAAACAGTGAGTGGTTTTAAACTGCAGTTCACATTTTTGTATAGATGAAACAACTGGCAGTTCCAGATTCTATTTCTCAAACGTACATGAACCCAAAATGACTGTCAATAAAAATGAAAAAAATGAACATCTGTAAAATGCAGAAAAATTATCCAATCATGATGAAAATACCAGGTGCACACCTTCATATGATGAATAATGTGTACAATTGTTCAGATAAATCCATGCAATAGTCTCCGAGAAGAGTTCCGGACAAATATACGTCTACAGATAGACAGACGGACATGCTGATTCCAATATACCCCCCTTAAACTTCGTTCGCAGGGGGTATAAAAACAGGGAAGAAAAGTTATTCAAATATTATGAGTTTTCTAAAACATAGGCACATGTATTAATTTTTCTTTTTGTGTTTTGTACATTATATATACTTACAGGGTTTCAAGATTATCCAATCCGGAGAATGCAGATGATACAAGACGTGTTATTTTGTTGAAGGAGAGATCCCTTCACAAATCAAAATATATGTAAATACACTGATATATACGAAAAAATATTTAAAATTAATTGAAATATGTGGAGATAACAACAGTATTCGAGCTCAAATGTCCATTAAACAAATTTTGAACTAGTTTGGCTACTCCAAAAGTTAAAGACGAGGAAAGTCGTGTTTTTAATTGAAGAAGGGAAAACTGTTTGGAATCATAATGCTAAAAATGATCATTTCTCTAATCTAAAATTCTGTCAGTATATTTTCTGAGACAAGATGAAATATGATTAAGTGGTTTTTTTAGGTCCCTATCCTCAATAATTAAATTCGTTATAATTGAAATGATTTAATATGTTAGTACGTTTCATGTAACATATCTTGGCACCAGGCATGGGTAAATGATAAGTTAAAATATAATGTGTATGTTATTCATTACTTATGCAAAGCAATTGTACTTGAATTAATTTCTTTTCTGAATGAAAGTAATGGCAGTGATAACTGCAATGGATAAATTCTAATGTAATTGTAATTCAATGCATTACATTTCAAAATAATGGACACCAGGTATGCTGATTACATTTTGAAAAACTACCACACAGTACTTACAAGACTGGCAACGTCACGAGACCAGAAAACGTTTGTGGCAAAATCAGCCTTATTACATTGTAGGAGAGGTCCCTAAGGAAAATAAGTTATCCCAGAGTCAGTAGTCAGTGAGAAATACTTGAGCGATTGTGAGATTGAAAATTGTAAACATGAATGGATTTTAACAACATTCTGGAGGGATTTTAGCAGTTGAAGTCTGTGTCAGGATGGTTTATCTACTTTCGCTATCCTATAATAGGGAGTATTTTTTTTATAATACTCATCGTGAAGGGGAAGAAAATCTCAAGTTTTGCCACACTTCTGATTTGTTTTGTTTTGTTTTATTTCACAGTAATTTTTTTGAGTAAAAACATCACTTTGGAATATCAATTTTATTCTATGAATAAATAATTTTATTTTACTGTTGTAAATTTTATTAATTTAATCATAATATACATCACTTTTAACTGTCTATCACAATTTAAGTTTATAAAATTTTATTTAATTTAAATATATCGTAGTAAGTTGCTGAAACAAATACACTGTACGATTCTTCATTGTCTAAGAAGAGATACTAACTCACTTTATAATACGTATTGCTAAATACTTATTCTTAAATTCATGCTCAAGTCAATCTTTATAAAACCAACAATGTAAGAACTGTCAATAGGCACTGTCAACTGTAAATTATAAGCACTGTACTTACAATTCACGGAGATTTCCTAGGGCGGAGAACGTTGTTGGTGTTTTATGTTTTATCTTGTTCCTGCTCAAATTCCTCAACGAAAGATGGAAAAATATATTAAAAAAATTTCCTGAATTATGAGAACTTGAAGGAACATTTACCTAAATTACATTTCATATCAAGAAGCCCAAAGAAAACAGTAGCCCAAAAAGACATATATGATGTGGGATCCTAAAAAAGATATTCAGAAATATTACTACGTCTTTGAGCAGGACTTAGTGCTGATCAGTTTACCCTAAGCTAAAAGTTGAATAGACTTGACTTGTGACAACTTAAAAAGTCCCAAGAAAAAAAAAGACTGAAACTCGGATATGAACCCCCGAATATTGTCAGATTGGGCTACAAGTCAGTATATCTTAGTTCTCCTTCAATCTGTGCCAGATGAAATATGGAAATAACAAACAGAATTTAAGCTTTAAGTCCATTAAAACAATATCAATTAGGAAGAGTAAACACGGACCTCCGAAAACATCAGAGGTGGGATCAGGTGCCACGGAGGAGTGAACATCCCCTGCCGACCGGTCACACCCGCCGTGTGCTCCTTGTTATGATCGATCTATCAAATCTAGATCTATCAAAATGACTCTCTGGATTAAAATCGCAGTGTTTAGGAGTCAAAATAGCACTTACATCCATGGAAATATTACGACAATATAATTATGATCACATCAATAACAAAATTATTATGGTAAGTTTGAAACAAAAGAATTGAGATTTATTAATGTGTCCGAGAAACGAATGCAAGCCAAATTTATTCATGCTTTAATCAATTTAAATGCATCAACTTTACACTTTGGGTATCTTTATATGCGTTTTTTCACATGTCAAAACGAAAGAAATTCGCCCTCTTAACCTATATTTCGGTATAAAAAGATAATTGTTCTGCGTATCATGTATATTCAATAGTTCACAACCTTTTATATATATAAACAGATTTATGTCCTAACTTTTAAAGAAAAGGGAAATAATTTGATGTTGAATAAAAACTAGACAAATCAAAGATGCATATACTGTGGATATTGACAATACTTACACTATTCTTATTTTATTCAGGTTAGAAAACGCCTTCGGGGGGTATCTTTGTAAGATTGTTGAGGTGAATTTCCCTAATTTAAATATTGAAAGCAATTTCACTGAAGTGCAAATATCATGTATACAAATCTGCCTTACTTCAATAGCAAAAAAGAGGATATAACAAATTGTTTTCCAGATTTTCATTAAGTTGTAATAATAATGTAGTATTTATCAGATTTATAACTTGAATCAGTAGCGAAGTCAAAAGATATCTATTATTGAACTGATGTCAACAATATTATAGATACTCTGGGATTTTTACTAGAAAAAGATGTTATGGTAACCTAACAACAAAAGTTTATGATAAACATGTTGACTAGCTTTTTTACTGTCAACCTCCTTATTTATGTAGCAGTATACCATTATCACATGCATATGGAGTTTGTGTCTCCCAGTTGTTTCGATACGCAATAGCACGCTAAACGTACCAACAATTTCTAAAATGAGGCAAGCTATTAACAAATAAGTTGATGAATCAAGAATACCAGCAGTCTCGTTTAAAGCCAACACTTCACAAATTCTATGTTTGATAGAATAACCTTGTCAGCAAATGTATTTTTATCATTGTCGATTGTTGACTGACGTTTTTCATACAAATTGTTAGGCCATTATTTTCACTGAATCGTCTACGGATTTTTCCGTTGGCCCATCAGGACAATGAGCACACGGCGGATGTGACCGATCGACAGGGGATGCTTACTCCGCCAAAGCACCTGAACCCGCCTCTGATATTTTTAGAGATCCGTGTTTGTCTTGCTACAAATTTGTATTATTTCAATGGACTTTTGAGTATGGTTACTATTCGTTAACTTTGTATTTTGTTTGAAGTATTTTCATAAAACCTAGCACTAGCAATACTTACAGAATTGTAAGATTCCTTAGTTCAGAAAACACTGTGGATGGTACATGGGTTATTTCATTTGCAGCCAGATACCTACACATCACAATAAAATAATATTTTAAACAGTAATGTTAATTACACTAATGTATAAAAACATGTTTTTTTTTCAATTACCTTTATAAAGCAAAACTCAACAAATAATTGCAGTTAATTATATCAACTACCAATTCATTCATGCTCCAAAAAGAAATGAATACATGTATAAAGGATTTACTTATTTCCAAGTACAGTGTAGCATTCAATCACATTGGAGATACATGTACAATGTTATTAACCTACAAAGTACTTTAAGAAAGGTAAAAAAGTCTTGCATGCAAATTACATTGTAAAATTGTTTTCTTCGAAAGATGGTTGTATGTATTTATATGCACAGTACTTACAGCCATTCAAGATTAACCAGGCCAGAAAAAGCCTCTGATTCTATATGAGATATCTTGTTGTTCCCGAGGTATCTAAACATAAAAGCAAAGGAAATTCAAATTCAGATATGTAAATAAAATACAGGAATTTAAAGACTAGAGTTTAAAGTGTGTCAACTTTCAACCTTCAAATGGGATATATGTATGGCATCAGAGAATTGAAATGGTATTTATTACCGAATTTATACTGCTGGCAATATAATTATAACACTGGATATCATTTTTTTCCAACCCATTTTCGTGATTTTTCTGTTAAGGCTATATTTTAATCATTGGAAATAAGGGTTAATGCTTAACTGAAGGAGGATAAGACAAATCGTTTTTAGTGATGAGAGGATTAGGGAAAGAAATAAGCAATTAAATGGGTTACTAGGCTATCAAAATACTTATTGTATTAATATTAAATACTAAATTTCAATGCAAGCTACAGATTCTCTCCCAGTATTTATCAATATTTTATGTAATTTACTTTGAAACACTTTGTTGTTCATACAATATTTGCTCATTTAATCCTTAAGAATACTTATACAATACAAATCAGTCTTAAAATTAAACTTCGGGAATTGAATCAGTTAATAATTCAATTTTTCTTTAAGAAAAATATGTACAATTATTGAAATTAATTGACATTTGTGCAAAGAAAGACGCTTTTACTCATCTGCTGAAAATTATGACACACTGTTGAAAACACTGCACTTACAATTGTTTTAAGTTGACGAGGCCGGAGAAAGATTCTGAGCCTAACTCTGTTAATCCGTTGTCATTCAGGACCCTTAAAAACAACAAAGTTGATCATGATTTAAATAAAATATACACCGGTTAATCAATAAATTAACGAAATATTACTTATTAAATAAACAAGGAGCATGAAGTGTAACTGACTATACGGATTTATCCGATCTTGACAAAGGGCAAATGGCCTTTCAATTTTGCTACTAAAGTTCTATATGATAAAAACAATACTTACAAGCTTTTAAGATTATTCAGGCCAACAGAAAATGTTCCTGTTGCTATTTTGTTTATATTGTTTTTGGAAAGTGACCTGGAAAAAAAAGCCAACTTTCGTAAAACACTTGCAATCATAAGCCAATAAATGTCAATATAAGAGAACTGATAGAACATCTCAGCAAATTTTGTTTCTAAGGTTACAAATTTTGTTTCTAAGGTTACAATTTTTTTTTAATTGTGATGCGTTTTTTTATTATTAGAATGTTAAGAAACTTTAAATGTACTACCCGCTGATTAAGAGTACATGTAATTATCGAGTAGTCATCAAACATTTCGAATGTGAAGATTTCAGCATTCATTCATTCTTTCGGACCAGATCACTTGGCCGGATTAGATGAGTTGCTGGTTTTTTCGAGGTCTAAAAGAAATGAGAGTGCTTGCAGGGGCATTAACAATTATATCGGCCGACTTTGAGAGGGTGTTGGTTTTCAGATCTAGAGAATTGTAAAGTAGGATTTCCCCCATAGCCAGCCCCCCCCCCCCCCGGGAATATGTACTCTGGAGTTGGATTTTCCCCCGAGGGGAGATCTCACACTAGACCCAAAATTTCCCCCTCTTTCTTTATCAGAATAGGATTTCCCCTCTTTTATCAATGCTTAAAATTTGGCTAAAAGTTTACATGAAAGTCAACTGATTCTTTTATGAAAATATGAGTGTTTTCGACTCAAGGATTGTCGAATTTAGTATGAATTCAAAAAAATATATTGTTTAAATTATTGAGTCTCAATACAAAATTTTGCTTCTTGGGAAATTGTAAAATTAATCACTCAAAAAAATCTTAAGACTCGATGTCTCAACACCTCTTTCGGTGCAGCAGTACGTGTTTGCCCACTAATGTTAAAATTATAGTGATTTGATAATTTGCTTGCCCCCTAAAGGCACATTATTTCATCTATGGATCCATCCGTTTTACAAAGACTGTGTGGGAAAATTCTAAAATTTATGTTATTGATGGGTTCAACGTGCCACTTTGGTCGCCCGCGTGGAGCAGTATTAGAGCGTCTGCTCTAAAGTCGCGGAGTAAGGAGCTGATCCATACATCGCGGATTCGAAATTACTGCGGGACGTGGAGACCGGTCCTTCGGATGATCGTATAAACCGAGGTCCCTGTGGCAGTAGGTGTTGGCACGAAAAAGATCTTTCACTGCTCAATGGCTCTAAGTGCCCAGTTTAGGTATAAATTTAATTTGCAGCCCTCCACCGGCAAATGGTGGAGTCTCCATATGAGTGAAATATTCTGAGAGGGATGTTAAACAACAAACAAACGTGCCATTTAGTGAGTATTTAGATCGAGTAGTTCTTCAAAGGGGAAAAAGCCAAAACAATAAACACAACAATACAAGAAACACAGATTTTGCAAGACTAAGCATAAGTATGTGATCCCAGCAATGTAATATTGGTTTTATATATATATATATATATATATATATATATATATATATATATATATATATATATATATATATATATATATATATATATATATATATATATATATATATATTGGATTTGAAAGCAGAGAGCAAATAATCTCCATAAGTTTTTCAAATTTTTAGAAATAGATGACCCATTTTTAGATCCATGAATTCTTAACACCAGAATTGCACATCAACATTATGTACGTACATGCCGTTTGAAATACAACTGGCGAAAAAATTCATCTAATATAAAATTACTTTTTGTTTCTATGAAACAGTTAAATTTTTTCCAATCGATTACATTGTACTATTTTTTTTTAGAAACAAGATTTCATTTTTCTTACTTCGTATATGGTTCGTCGCCGCGTGGCGCAGTTGTTAGAGCGTTCGCTCTAGAGTCGCGGAATAAGGAGTTGATCCGTACGTCGCGGGTTCGAATCCCACTGTGGGACCTGGAGACCGGTCCTTCGGATGAGATCGTATAAACCGAAGTCCCGTGTCGCAGTAGGTGCTGCCACGAAAAAGATCCCTCACTGCTCAATGGCCCTAAGTGCGGAGTATTGGTCAAAATTTGTAGCTCTCCATCGGCAAGTGGTGGCCTCTCCATATGAGTGAAAAGTTCTAGAGAGGGATGTTAAACAATAAACAAACAAACAAACAAACTTCGTATGTTTCAATGGAACTGGTCGCCATTTTGAAGAAGGGACACTTGTAACAATATGTCTTTCCCTTCCTCCTCATGCATAAGTACAGCCATGATATTTTATTGGGGGGATTGGCTCTTGGGGAAATCGCACTCTATAATTATTGCACAGAGTAGGATTTCCCCCGGAAAATTGAATATAATTGGGATTTTCGTAGGGGAAATCCTACTCTAGAGCCTATTTTCCGGGGGGGGAGGGATCCTACTCTAGAGCCAGTTTTCCGGGGAGGGGGAAAGATTTTACTGGTTCTTAGAACTTTCGCTGTATATGCCTAAAGGTCTACAAATCAATTGCAAACAATTAAGAGCGGAATAAGAATATTTAACTTTTATTTTGGATCTTAACCTAAATTGAATATATTCGAGAATTTATCTAACGTTACAAGAGATGCATTGATACTATTTTGAATGGTTTTCGAAATTTTATTTATTGAAAATATTTACTGAATCAAAATTACCCGCTGTCAATTAAAATATACCATACTTACATTTTTTCAAGCTTCTTCATACCAGAAGACGCCAGCCATTCTGTCTTTGTAATATTGTTGATGGAAAGATCCCTTCAAATATGGTATAAAAATGATTTATATAAAGTTATCTCTCGAATTCTGAGTGAATGCAACTGTTCTGTATATATATATATGAAATAATTTAATTCTGGTTGTAACGCTGTATTTGATTGGATAAAAAATTTACTTTATGTCGTATAAAATGGGTTGCATACGTCACAATGACTTGCGTCAAAAACGTATCGATCCGCCTGACGTTACATTCAAATTTTGTACAAATTGAAGTCATTTTTAAGGACAATTGTTTTTTTTTCTTACACCGAATGAATGAAAATTAAATTATCAGGAATGAATTTAATAGCAACCCAATTTATACGGTATAAACTGGGTTGGAACACTTTACGCTTTTTTATAAACCGCTTCGCGGTTATATATATATATATATATATATATATATATATATATATATATATATATATATATATATATATATATATATATATATATATATATATATATATATATATATCAATCTAATTAAAATTAGATGTTCAGAATCCGCTGTCGCTTCTCAAACCATTTGGGGTCACGTCAGAGCGACCTTTCGATTACCCAATGAAATCGCCGTCGTCGAAATCTTGGCTTATAGTTCGGATGCGTTTCTTTTTTTTACTGCCAAACCTAAACGCCCGAGAGGTTTCGTAGTAAACAAATATGCATGGTAAAGACCGTGCTATATAAATGTGACGTGCGGGATATATTAATAGTAGTTTGTGCATTTTCGTTTGCGTTATTCAGGTAAGAATGCCAGATTGGCGGACTATACGTTCAATTTATACCAAAATTACTTTAATTCAAGACAGTCTACTGAGCATCATGTAGCCGTGGAACTAATTTTAGAATTGAATACAGAAGGTTGAATCTGATTGGCCAAAATTTTTATGTTTATTCATAATCGAAAGGTCGCTCTGACGTGACCCCGAATGGGATGTTGTTAGATGTTTGAGAAGCGGTAGCGGATTCGGAACATCTAATTTTAAATAGATTGTTTGAGAAGCGGTAGCGGATTCGGAACATCTAATTTTAATTAGATTGTATATATATATATATATATATATATATATATATATATATATATATATATATATATATATATATATATATATATATATATAAAATACTTACAGGGATTCAAGATTTTTGAGATTTGAAAATGCTGTTGTTGCTATCTCCACAATATTGTTGTCAGAAAGTGATCTTGAATAAAAAAAAAAAGTCATGAGTAGAAATCATCCGATTCAACAAAACATAATACAATAATTTGCAGAACCTTTTATCAGCTATGAAGCAATGCTGAATGAATGAGGGGACCGGTGGAGGTTATTTTACAGATTTCAAGCATATATGGAAAACTCAAAATTTTAAGTTATTTCTTTTTTTTTTCAATTGACGATATTAATAGTGAGGAAATATGTAATTTTAATACATACAGCTCAGAAAACTTCCTATCCTAACATGCTTTGTGAACTAATTAAATCCACATTTTGGAAATAAATATATTATAACTAAGCGAAGGCGTAACAAGATAGGGTAAATTTATGGGGTTTTTTTATTCGTGACTGATGATTATGTCGTTTTTAGCCATTGACATGTTTCTTTTTTACCGATTTCCTCATTTTCTATCCTAAAATTCCCTAAATTACTTATATATATATATATATATATATATATATATATATATATATATATATATATATATATATGCTTATGCAGCATACAAAACAATATGCATGTGTTATGTAGCAACAAGCCATAACTCAGAAATCACAAGAGAGTTTCTCAAACGAAATGTAGTTTCTAGCTGTAAGATTTTGTTGTCCTTAAACAATCCTGATTCAACCCCAAATAAAAAACATTGAGGTCAATAAAGAAGACCGGTCCTTACTCAAATCCTGCCAACAACTTATAATCTAAAAGAAATGTGAAAGCACTCTTTAGCAAGAATGGTTCTCAATTCCCAAAAAGTTCTGTTCATAGCATACATACTTGTATTAAGGATGCTATTCGTGCCAAAGAGGAACAATTACGTTCTATAAATATAGGATCTCCCATGATTTGTAGTTGGATATGATTTTTATCCAACGAGTTGCGTGTTTTTTTTATCCCCGAGCCTTGGCGAGGGGATAAAAACACACAACGAGTTGGATAAAAGTCATATCCAACTACAAATCATGGGAGATTCTTTTTATCCCATGTTTAATATTTCACAACCAATGTTTTACACTGTTTTATATAGGACTCCACTTTATTTTACTTCTTCACGCTAACGCTAAAACCATTGTGACGTCACAACTGCACTTAACTGTGGATTATGAAAAAATTATCCAATGAGTCATATCCACGGGATAAAGGGGTAAACATGGGATAAATCAAAATATCATTCATCTTATCTTCTGTTTGACCCTTCGCTCAAAAGCTTTTTTTTCTTTCCTATTCAGTGCTAATAGTTCACAAAAGCAAATTCGGTTAAAATGTTTTTAAGCAGTATAATTCCTTTCATTGCAATAACAGAGAGAGAGAGAGAGGAAATCGTCCAGAAGTGTCTAGATTTATAACTTATGAAATAAAATGTATTTATCACTCGTTGACATGTAAATAAATTTTTTTTCTGTTTCTGATATCTGCGTGACACTTACAACTCTTTTAACTTGACCAGTGCCGAGAATGTTGTCGATAATATATCTTTTATTTTGTTCTCGTACAGATACCTATAAAAACAAATAAACAACTTTCAATTAAACACATAATCACAAACAGTGTATGCTTGGAAAGACCCTCAAAATTTCAATTTTATAACAACAAAAACTTCCAGCTTTTTATATGGAGAACCTTTTTTTAAAGTCCCTATTTTTTAGCTTGTGTTATACCATTATGCTAACCTGAAATGCAAGAACATCATCGAGATTCAATAGCACACACACACACACACACACACACACACACACACACACACACACATATATATATATATATATATATATATATATATATATATATATATATATATATTTCCTTGTGTGGACTCTTTCTGAATTTGCCATACTGGTATTTTATTACACTTTCAACAGTGAAATACTGTTATTTATTTATTTATTTTATAAAAAGTGGTATTCTGTCACAGTGTAAAATAATATCACAGTGATATGCTGTCACAGTGTGAGAGATAATCAGAAGTGCAGTAAAACACTCGATTTTTACTTTTGTTACGTTTGCATAACTCATACTGGTGTATTCAACAGCTTGCTTATAAGGAAGTGCTGGGGAATTTTTAGTTTTCAGTTACTGAATTTCTTTATATCCATTAAAGAAAGTGTTATGGGGTCAAGAATTGGAAAAAGTTCTAACTTTCTTATAACCGTTATTTCCTTATCTCAATAAGTTCCTAAAACGAGTTTTACTGAACTTCATTGATACTGCACTATATAATACTTACAGCTTTTCAAGTTTAACCAAGTCAGAGAATGCCTGCGGCACTATCTTTGTTATCTTGTTTTTGGAGAGACGCCTTGAATTGTAAGAAACTCATTGAAGAAGGAAAATTACACAGACTTAAGCATGCGCCAAAGACATACATTTGAAGATATTTTGGGTTTTATACAACAACAAATTTTAAAAATGACAAATTCATCTTGTAAGAATTCACATGTAAGAAAGAAAGAGATAAAGGAAGACAAATCCATATGCTTACCTGTAGAAAATTTAAAATAGATCAATTTCTTTTTGTATCATAAATATAATATTTGTAAAAGAAATATATATATATATATATATATATATATATATATATATATATATATATATATATATATATATATATATATATATATATATATATATATATATATATATATATAAAATGGCGTATTTTATTATATTATATTTGTGCATATATACAACTTACAATTCCCTTAGACGCTTGAGGTTGGCAAACGTTGTTTGTTCTATTTGTGTTATCTTGTTGTTGGTAAGAAACCTTGATAATTAACAAAATTTATTTTTGAATTGTAAAGGTAAAAATCCTTAAAGTTTTACCTTTACTGAATTACTAATTGAAATTCTCTGATAAACTGAAAAAAGAAGTAATTAACAATAAACAAAATAAAAGAACGAAATGGTTAGGCCAACCTTAAAATAATGTTTGTTTGCCCTCTCCCGACTCGGAATGAAAAAATTGGGTCGGTAAGTAGGAAGTTAAGAATTTTTTTCTCAGAAAATTTCAATTTCAATACTAAATTTTTCAAATCTGTTGTCCAGAATACATATAAAAATAATTGCTTTTAGGAGTTAAAAAAGTTTTCAGTCGGGCTATTTCTAGCCAGTCGGTCGGGAGAGGGCAACCAAACATTTTTTTTACAGATGACCTTACTGATAATGTGCTATATAGAACACTACATTTTTATTTCGTTTTTAGTGGAAAACAAAGATCAGTATAGCAATGATCCACGCTTTTTAATGTCCATATCTGTCTCGTAATGAGGCTTCTTAGATATACCTGCAACCGTTGTTTTAAATTAAACCAAACCTCCAAATGCAGTTTCAAAGAATCTCAAGATAATACATGTACATGTATAGCTATTAACAGTAATACTGTAGAATCATTAGATTTCGTGGTGGCTCAATATTTGTGGAATTCGTGGGTACCTCTCATACTCGAATTAACATCCTCCACGAATTAATATACCGGGATTTCAAAGTCAGGTTTCTTTTTGTAGATATGAGTAAATACACGAAATTACGTTCTCAAGAAAAAATTTAGCAATCCACGAGAATTGACTCCCACAAATTTTGCTGATTCCACTGTAATGTATGTAATTTGTAATTTCGGGTTAGTAAATTTCATATACGACCTTCATTCAAAAATACGTAGACTTTTGCCATAACGTTTTTACTTAACGTAATGAATAAAAAAAATTCAAATATACCACGATAATCAAAGTTATTTGAAATTCAAATCTGCGAAAATTGGGTCACGGAGCACGGTCAAAATTGAGTAAGTCACTAACAAAACACTATATAATGTCTATAGTCATGTGCTACAATATCTCGTTTTACATATCCATAAATTTATGAATATTTATCACATTTCATAAATGCCACCAGAAAAGTAAAAGAGTGGTATTTTAGATGTAAGTTTGAACTATCCCAAACACATCCAGGAAGAAGGTATATTAACCACCTGATCTTCGAACCTGACAAACATTTAAGATCCATTGAAAATATTACCAGAAATTAAGTTACATCTATAAAAACCAATCCAGGCTGAAACACGTCAATTCAGTTACTTTAAATGACAGCAAACGTAGTTTATAGCTTACAAGTGTACATACCTTAACACTGGTTTTCTTGTTGACATGTTAGATTATCTGCTTAAATTCCAAGTTTAATATAACATACATATATTAGGATCTCCCATGATTTGTGGTTGGATATGATTTTTATCCAACGAGTTGTGTGTTTTTTTTATCCCCGAGCCTTGGCGAGGGGACAAAAACACACAACGAGTTGGATTAAAGACATATCCAACCACAAATCATGGGAGATTCTTTTTATCCCATGTTTAATACTTCTCAACCAATGTTTTACACTGTTTTATATAGGACTCCACTTTATTTTACTTCTTCACGCTAACGCATAAACCATTGTGACATCACAACTGCACTTAACTGTGGGATATGAAAAAAATATCCAATGAGTCATATCCACGGGATAAAGGGGTAAACATGGGATAAATTGAAATACAGCAGATTTACTGTTACTTATATACTGTGAAGGTAATTTAATATTTTATGTATTATGTACTTACAATTTCTTTAAACGAACCATGTCAGAAAACGAGGATGTCTGCATTATCTTGTTTCTTGTCAGATAACTACAAAAAACAATTAAAAAATTCAATACGGACAATGTAATTTAGCTGAGAGGTATTGACTAAAAACGTATGAAGCACAAATATTTAAGTAAAACCAGCATTCATTATCAGTGACTCTGACACTCTGAGAAATTAGTCCAGACTCTATTTCTACCTAGTTACTCAACTGTTCTGGCCAAAAAAAAAATTCATCACTGCTCATCGACAAAAAGCGTCTAATACAGGTCTAACTTGCAGCCTTTCAGCAGCAAGTGGCGGCATCCAACCATGATTGAACAAATTCTTGAAGGGATGCACAACAAACAAACAAAACTCTCAACAGGTAAAACTTTTAATTATTTCAAGACTCTAAAATCAACTCTCGGTCGGATCCCGGACATTACAGAAGGTTTTATCTGCTATAGTCTGCCCCATGGTACCAAGGACCTCACTTTCGCATCAGATCTCAGAAGGCCCTCAAACTAGGTTCGATCAATAGATCATTTTATACATCGAGATTTGCTAGGCAAAAGTTGATTTTAAAAAAAATGGGGGTCTTTCTGAGGATACTTTAAAACTGTTGATAATTTGGAGAAAGACCAAAACAGGGGATCCTTATTTTACTACCTAAGGGTTCTACGGGTTTCAAGGTCTTTTCTAAAATCTTACGAGATTTAAGTTATTGAACAGTTACTACCTATTTAAAGCCTTAGGGTTTCAACTTTTGATTTAAGTAAACATGTCCATATCTCTGTTTTGAAATAAAGAATATCACAGAGTCTGATACATCTGTTTCATATTTGGATATTTTACTAGGAAAAGACTTAAATGGTAACCTAACAACAAAGCTTTATAATGAATATGGTGATTTCAATTTTTCAATCGTCAACTTCCTTAACTTATGTAGCAATATACCCTTATCACCTGCATATGGGGTTTTTGTCTCCCAGTTGATTCGATACGCAAGAGCATGCTCTACGTATGAACAATTTCTAAAACGAGGCAACTACTGACAAATAATTTGATGAAACAAGGATATCAACAGTCTCGTTAGAAGTCATCATTTTGCTAGTTTAATGGTCGATATAATGAACTTGTCAGCAAATACAACCTATCATTAAGTCAAATGTTGACTGGCGTTTTTCTTAGTAATTGTTAGGCCATTATTTACAAACTGAATTGTCTACGGATTTTTCCGTTTTCCCGACCATGACAAGGAGCACACGTCGGGTGTGACCGGTCGGCAGAGGATTCTCACTCCTTCACGGCTCCTGATCCCACCTCTGGGGTTCATGTTTGCTCTGCTCCCGATTTGTATTGTCTTAATGAACTCAGAGATTAAATACTGTTCGTTGTCTCCATATTTCATTTTGCAATCAGCAAGCACAGATTATTATCAAAAATCCATAGATGTCACTTGAACAAATCTAAAGCACATAGATTGCATTGGTTAACTTGATAAGAAATGATTGCTATCAGATAATTATTTGTAATAAGATATGAATTCTTATTGAGAAAAAACATCTTTTAATTTGAAACAATTTAGCGAGTAAAAAACAAAATAATGAAATATTCTTAAAAATACTTACAGTTTTTCAAGATTTTTGAGACCAGAGAATGCTCCTGTCGCTATGTGTGTTATCTTATTGTTTGACAAATCTCTATACAAATAACAATAAAGACATTTTAAGGACAGATGATGCAAACTTTAAGCTTTGTTGATAATTCAAACAATTATATTATTTGAATGCATATATTATGTAAGATTTTATAATAATGTCATATGTGCAAAAATTTGTACATGTATAGATTTATATAGAAAATGGCACATATTCTCAAATCCAAACACCAAAGAATACTTAGTAAACAATTTTTAATACTTTGGGAATTTGGTATTTGTGTCATTTCTATTCAAAATCAATCATATATATATATATATATATATATATATATATATATATATATATATATATATATATATATATATATATATATATAGGATCTCCCATGATTTGTAGTTGGATATGATTTTTATCCAACGAGTTGTGTGTTTTTTATGGCGAGATGATAAAAACACACAACGAGTTGGATAAAAGTCATATCCAACTACAAATCATGGGAGATTCTTTTTTTCCCATGTTTAATACTTCACAACCAATGTTTTACATTGTTTTATATAGGACTCCACTTTATTTTACTTCATCGCGCTAACGCAAAAACCATTGTGACGTCACAACTGTGGATTATGAAAAAATTATCCAATGAGTCATATCCACGGGATAAAGGGGTAAACATGGGATATATATATATATATAATTATATACCAACCCATACATCGATTTTTTGTTTGCTTATTTATCCTAAGCGAGGTAATTTCAAAAATTAACACTGATTAAAGATATATAGTTGATAATGGGAATAGCTGATTTGGTAATTATATATACTATATGTACCATATATCAGTGTATGCCAAATCAATATTGAAGCTTATGTAAGTAAGTTATTTCTATACCGTTTAGAAAATTTCATGTTTTATCATTAAACATCAGAAATGAAGCTGGACACTAAAATAAATAATTTGGACGAAAATTTGTAAACTTACATAAAATGTTTTTAACCTTTGCCTTCAGTATTTTATTTGTAAATGCGTCTTAATTGTCTTTAAAAAAAACGGACAGGATTCATGAAATTTATGAAGAAAAAAAACCGTTGGTTTACACTGGTTTATAGTATTACGTACAAGTCATTCTAATTAAGGTACCGATTCTAACCACAAAAAGTATATGTATATAAGGGGAAAATTGCATTCTTGTTAGGTTATTGCCCCTTTGTTCTTTTCACAGAATAATTTTTGTGTGGGTATTTTTAAACAGTTGTCCCATGAAATGCAAGGACGGAGATATGGTCAGAAATACTAGTAATTCGATCTGCGAATTAATACTTTTATTGTCCCCCGCTTTCGCAAAAGCGAGGGAACATTATATCTCATTCGTCTGTCAGTCTGTCTGTCAGTCTGTCCGTCTGTAACAAAAACTTTAACCTTGGTCATACCAATTGTTAATATTGCTGATAAATTTTGATTGAGAGTAGATATAGCAATTACATTTGACATGTGCATTACTTGTTTCAAGACCTTTCCAATTGTATACTCTGTTTTTTTCCTCGTGATCCTGACCTTAATGTTTAACATATGCTCTTTTTTCAAATTAATTTTACATTTGTAATAACATTTGAATAAGAGAAGATAGGGTTTTCATATTTCTACATGTACATTGCCTATGTCAGCACCTTTCAGAAAAGTATATCATTTTTGACTTCATGACCTAGACCTAGAAGTTTGAACTACTTCAAAAATTGACCATAACCTTTACGCTCCATAAGAGACAGAGCTTTCATATTTTTTCACATGTGAATTACTTGTGACAAGACATTTCAGATGCATTACGATATTTGACTTCATGACTTTGATCTTGAAGTTTGAAGTACACTGTAGTTTTAAGAAGCTATAATCTTTGTCATAACTGTTATTAATTCAATAATTTATGTCTTTTTGTATGACGACAAGACACACAAACAAGACAGTTACAATATGCCATAAATAATGGCATCCCATCCACTAAGACACCGAAAGCGAGGGGATTACAATTCTTTGAATTTGCTTGTTACACGTATTTCTTACACTCTTCAAAAATCGTATTACCTTTAATACTTTTATTATCTTTTACACTCTTCAAAAAACATTCTATAATTAATAAATTCATTATCTTTTACAATCTTCAAAAATTATACCACAATTAATACTTTTATAATCTTAAAAATTACACTTTTTCAAAAATCATATAACAATAAATATTTTTTATTGTGAAAAGGGTGAAGATAATGAACAGTGAACAGTGATAGATCTCAAAAATTCTATAAACAGCACAACTCTGTGAAGAGGGCATAAATAACAGACCCCTGGAAAATCCAGAGGTGGGATCACGTGCCTAGGAGGAGTAAGCATCCTCTGTTGACACCCCCGTGAGTCCTATGTATTGATTAGGTAGATGGAACATTCAGTAGTCAAATTCAGTATATATCATAATATTTTTATTACCTATCACACTCTTCAATAATCATACAAAAATTCTTACTTTTAGTTTTACACTCTTCAAAATCACGTCGCATTCAACGACATTAGTTCAATCCTTAGCTTGCCTTTTTGATATTTTTTTCGATTCTTACAAAGAACTTTTGTTTAAAATTGAAAGTGGATTAAATTAAATATGGTGACACCTTGATGTGATTACAGCCAAATGAATGAAAAGTGATAAGAGTTATGGCCATTTAAGCGTGTCAAAAGCAATTCAAAGAAACATCAAGACAGCAATGCCATTTTTTTTCTAATTGCATATACATGTACACCCTTTCGTTTCGGATTTTTTAAGAGAAAGTTTACCTTTAGTGCCGATATGCTTTTATAATATATCAGAAAATGTTCCATTAAACAATATAAATTGTGCTACTTACAGATTTTTGAGATTAACCAGGTCCGAAAACCTTCCCGGAGCTATCTCTGTCAATCTATTTTTTGAAATATACCTAAAAGATCAATGACACACTATATATATATATATATATATATATATATATATATATATATATATATATATATATATTATATATATATATATATATATATATATATATATATATATATATATATATATATATATATATATATATATATATTGCCTATAGCTATACAAAGAGGTAGCATTTGTAGAAAACACACTGTGTAATTTGTAGAAAACACACTGTGCCTATAGTTATACAAAGAGGCACCTTTGTGTTTAAAATCATTGTATTCAAATGCTAAAACCAAAACAAAAAATAAAAACAATGTTAGCATTTTTTCATGAAATCATCCTTACACATAATAAGGTTTGTGTAGCAATATAAAGCTTATCATTACGATTATTGCTATAAAAATACAAATACCAACTATAAATCAACCAAACTGGCTTTGCCTCAAAAGGGCATAATATGCAATAACTAAAATTGAGAAATAATTGTTATGAACACAATTTTGTTTCCAGATTTTTTAAAAATTATTATTATTATTCATGTTTGTGACCATAAAATATTTCATTATGCTATACATACAGATCTTCTAGATTTTTCATGGAGGAAAAAGCTGTGGGCGATATCTCTGAGATGTCATTGATGACCAAACTCCTGTATAGAGAGTCAATACATATAATTAAAAAAAAAACACATATACAAATGCACCTGGACTGAGATAGGTTATCTATTTAAAAACAGAAACGGACAAGAAAGTAGAATCTTAACACAGTATTTTAGATAGTTGTCAGTAACAGTTAAGTATTTTTCGTGCTTCTGGATCCTACATGTAGATGATCTTGCTATGATGCAGAATGTAAACAGATTCTATTGAAAGTTCCTTATAGGCATAATTCAATTCAAAATCTGAACTAATTTTAATTTCATTTACTCACTATATTATTTTTTTCTAAAGGGAGATAATTATTTTTTTATTTATTCAGACAATTTAGTAAGACACACATAAAAATGAGAGTTTGCACAAGTTTAATGTTATACATATAACATGATAGTTATATGCAGAAATATATCGTAAAATGGAAAGTTACTAATGTTAAAGGGACCTGGACACAGTTGCATTGTTTACATTTTAAATTTCTACGTTTATTAAAAAAATATTCATTTTAATGAATTGAAATTACATGAACATTCTTAGATTTCAATGACAACGACATTCTTCTTTGTCTATGTTTGTAAACAGGGCACGAGCTCTGTTTTTGTATATGTTTACGTTTTACCAATTCATTCACTCAGCAAACTTCACTTAGCACGGACTGACAATACTGGTGAGTTGATTTTGCTTTCCCAGATTTCTACTCTGTTCTGGATTATAGTTTTAATATTCATTAATATCAACAAAATGTCTACTTTTTAAGTATTAAAGAAAAGGTTTACTTTGTGAAAGTTCCAGGATATGTGTCAATCAAACGCTTCCCGAAATTCGTAATTTGGATAATCTCCAGATAAAATAAGTTTATAAACGCGCTTTTATTTCATTTCAGCGTGAAATGCTCTATTAAAATAGGAGTCATTATATTATACTGAATATTTTAGAAAATATTATCTTCAAATCTGTGTCCAAGACCCTTTAAAAATATCGCCTTTCAAACATTTACAACAGTAAAATTCTCTACACCTTAAAAAACTCCCTTTCCTTCACTTACAGGTACGTTAAATTTTCCAGGGTGGAGAAGGCTCTCTCTGGTAGCAGTGAGATCTTATTGTTATGCAAACTCCTAAGCAAATATTAAGGTATATATATTTAATATATGTATGAAATAATGATGATACATTTAAAAACTATGAAAAGATGAAAAGATAGAGTTATGGAGAGCAACAAATATTACAATATATATATTTAATATATGTTTGAAATAATGATGATACATTTAAAAACTATGAAAACGTAGATTAATGGAGATCAGCAAAAGAAGTTTATATTTCTGTAGGTATCTAATCAAATAATTAAAATGATCTTCTTTTTTAAAATGTGCGCTTCACATCGATCGAACTTTATTCATGAATATTCAAGCATAGTTGTTAATTCAGGGTCTCCTTTTTGGAATACAGGGTCTCGCTATCTATAAAATTCACTTTTCCAAATTAATTTCCATTATTTCTGAGCTTTTCTCAGGCAAATAGTTAATTAAATCATAATATTTCTAAATGTTCCTAATCGAACACGTAAGCAAGTTGTATTCATCTGTGGTGAGCCTCCGTTTTTCACCGGGTATCGGTACATTAAAACCCTTTCCTTGACCTTTAAAACTGTACTCAGACCTAGGCACAACAGTCCTGAGAGAAGGACGTGTTCTTCGTTCTCTGATTTCTGTTGTTATAGATATGATAGACAAGTGAGGGTATTTCAACCAAACTTTTATATAATATTTATACGTATGATCCCGCTTCTCTGAGGTAACTAATGTTTGTTTTTATATTACATTGTATATTGATAATGTATCTTAAAACACCCAGTTACGGAATTTCTGAAACTCTGCAACGTAAACTTCTTCGCCATTCGACATTTTTAACTAGAGTTAAGCAATTTTGTATATGGCTTAATTGTCTTCTTGTTATTCGTCAAAACCCTTTGTATGGTAAAGAAAGCACAACTATTTCAAGTACGCTTATTGAAAAATATTACTCTACAACTGCCAAATATGAACTATGAATAATTCAGATGAAAACAAGATTAAAATTAAAGGGCAAAAGGTATTAGATTTTTGTCATCCGTATGCTTTCTAAGAGAAATAGAATTTTGCAAATGACATAAATGTAGATGAAATGTATGGATAACGAACAGCATTCAAGCTCAGAAGTCCATTAAACAATACAAATTTTGGAGCAGAGCAAACACGGACCTCTAAAACATCAGAGGTGGGATCAGGTGCCATGGAGGAGTGAGCATCCCCTGCCGACCGGCCACAGCCGCCGTGTGCTCCTTGTCATGATCGGTAAATAACGGAAAAATCCGTCGACAATTCAGTGTGTAAATAATGGCCTAACAATTAGTATGAAAAACGTCAGTCAGCATTTGACTTAATGATAAATTGTATTTGCTGACAAGGTCATTGTAGCGACCATATAACTTACGAAATGACGACTTTAAACGAACTGATACTCTTGTTTCATCAATTTGTTTGTCAATAACTAACCTCGTTTTAGAAATTGTTCATACGTAGAGCATGTTCTTGCGTATCGAATCAACTGAGAGATATAAACCCCGTATGCAGATGATGAAGGTTTATTGCTGCATAAGTAAGGGAAGTGGACGATTGAAAAGTTGAAGTCATCACGTTTATCATAAAGCTTGGTTGTTAGATTACCATTAACGTCCTTTTGTAGTAAAATATCCAAATATGAAACAACTAGATGTGTCAAACTCTGCGGTACCTTTTATTTCAAGCTCACTGAGATATATCGTATCGATATAAGAATGGAAATAACCATTGTTAATTGACAAAACGTCGTCGATATATCTAAATGTCGAGTTGAAGGCCACAGCAAGTGATTTCTTCTTTTCATGTATAAGATTTTGAAAAAAAATCTGCTTCATATGAATACAAAAATAGGTCTGCTAATAACGGGGTGCAATTGGTACCCATGGTAATTCCAATAGATTGTTGGAAGACCCGGTCTCCAAAAACCACACAGAGATTGTCAATCAGAAACTCAAGCATCTTTTTAATATCAATTTCAGAGTACTTCTGTGTACAATGAGAACGTTTTTCAACAAAACAATTTTGCAACTGACGAATGACAAGGTAAGTAAATTTACGAGTTCCATTTTTACTGAAAAAGTATTTGTCAATGATATTAAAAAGCCTGGACTTTAATTTATCGTGGGAATGGTTGTATATAAAGTTGAAAAGTCGTAAGTTTTTATGTTGTTGATTTTGGTAAAATTTTGTGATTCCAAATTTTCCAAAAGTTTCTTGGAATTTTTAAGTATCCACATCTGATTTACACCACTTCTCGAATATATTGTTGCACAGTACTCCAGAAGTTTCCCCTTTACTACTGCTAATAATTTTGGTGAGGAGTTTAGAAGAGGCTTGGTAGAACATTTACTGGAACCCGCTATGTATCTTTGTTTGTAAGGGTTTTTATGAAGTTTCGGAATCCAATATAGATATGGTAATTCAAATTCATGTTGGTTGTTGGGAATATTAAAAATATTCAAAACTGACATATGATTTTGAAGAATTTCCTCCATAGAAAGGGAGCTATGGGTATAAGTCGGATTACCACTTGTTGAATTAAATCCCATTTCCTCTAAAATACAATTTAAATAATGGGCCTTACAAACAATGACAATGTTGTTACCCGCTTTGCTGCATATAATTAGATGCTACATGTAGGAGCAAATTAATTGCTGTGCGACACACTTATGACACAAGGTCAATGAACTGTTATATAAAATATAAACTAATTTCTTCTGTGACCATCTACCAACATTCTTTATTAGAAAAGGTATACATATATATAATACAAAACCATTCTTTAAAAAACATAACATATTATCTTCATTTTCTTGAAAATGTTGGAAGTTGTTTGTGTAAATAAAACATACTTACAGCATTTTAAGATTGATGAGACCAGCAAATGCTGAGTGTGATATCTGATTTATCTTGTTATTCGACAAACTCCTTAGTGTGATAAAGAAAGCAAAACATCACTCTACTACAGCAAAATATGATTGAAAATGTAAATAATATTAAATTTACGACAGTATTTTAAATTGGATGAAATAATCAGATTATAATAAATATATCATGTAGAATTGAAGCAAATGAACTTAAGTCATTTTATAAAGTTTAGAAATACAAAAGCAAAAAAGAAATCTAAAAATTAAATTTCAAATATAATTGCTCAAATATATAATGCCGTGTCCTTCAATACTTACAGCATCTTCAGATTTACTAGGTCAGAGAACCTGATGGAGCTATCTGTGTTAACACATTCCACGAAATATCTCTGAAGAGATCAATGAAATACTTCAACTTCAACCCATCATTATATTTTACATTTTCAAAAGTGAATCACTGTAATAAATCCGTTGGATTTTCAATTTTTAAACAGAAGCAGGTTACTGACAAATGATTTGATGTTACATGGATGCCATCAGCCTCGTTTAAGATCAGGGGCCCATTTTACAAAAGAAATTATGACTAAGACCAAAAAATTTAGTTGAATGTAAAATTTTGTAAAAGTGATGATTCTGTTTGAAATTGCTAGCATAAAAATATACTGTTAGGTTCTTTTTAAAAAGATTATAACTGTTTTCAAATAAATGTAAAATAGGAAGTAATAAGCAGAATTAAATTTTGGTCCTAGTCGTAAGTTCTTTTGTAAAACGGGCCCCAGCATCTCAAAAGTTTTATGACCGTTGAAATGACCTTGCTTGCAAATACAACGTATCCTTGGGTCACATGTGTTTCATTCCAATTATTAAGCCATTATTTTATATATATATATATATATATATATATAATTATATATCAAGTTTAACTACGGATTATTCCGTCACTGATAAATACATAAGGTTCAATGCGGGTGTGACCGGTCCACAAGGGATGCTTACTCCTCAAAGGCACCTGTTCCCACTTCTGGAATTTCCAGGGGTCCGTCCGTGTTTTATGCCCTGTTCACAGATTTGTATAGTTTCTAGATTTATGAGATACGTCACTATTCGCTATTTTACCTTTGTCATTTAATTTTTTTTCAGCAAATAAGGCAAATAAAAAATATGTACTTAGAAATATGATATGTTCTTATCTTCAAAACCAGGGGTGGTAAATACCAGAATTACATTATGACAACACTTTCTTATTTTAATTCTTTGCTTAATTCTGTTCATCAGAAAAACTCAGATATAAAATTCCTAATTAAGATATTGTTTTTAAACTTTAGACATTTTTACCGCTCTTTTATTTGAAACCGTAACAAAAAACTTTTATATTTAAATTTTCATTACTGCATAAATGAATTACATATGAACAAAGTATTCTATATATATGATAATTTTACATACACAAACAAAATGATCACAGCAATGGAAAGCTGATTGCATTCTTCTGTTACTTAACTTTAATGAAATGTGGAGATAATGAACAGTAATCACGCTCAGAAGTCCAAATAAACCATAAAATTGAAAGCAGCGCAAACACGGACCTCTGAAAACATCAGAGGTGGGATCAGGTGCCATGGAGGAGGAAGGTCTTAATTCCGTCAAAAATCATTGAAGCGGAACGAAAATCAAACTTGATCTGTAAATCATCAAGATACACTCACATACCAAAAATCAGCTCAATATCTGCAACCGTTTAGAAAAAAATGTGCGGAAAACCAAGTGGGACAGACTGACAGACAGACAGAGGGACAGACAGCCAGCCAGACGGACAGACAGACCGACGGACAGACTCAGAGGAAACATATAGTCTCCTCCGGTTTCACCGGTAGGGGACTAAAAATACTTACAAGTATTTTAGATTAGTCAAGCCGTAAAATGTTGTCGGTGATATCTCTGTGATCTTATTGTAATCCAATTCCCTGTTTAAGAAACATTATTCTTTCTTTGAAATAGTACTAATAATATACCAATAGGATAAGGAATATATATGTACACTGAGTTGGCCAAACTCAAATAATAGACAATTTCTCCCCCAATTTAGCATATGGCCTGAATGAAACTATACACGCATCTAATCTTACGAAACATTTAATACGAAATGATCGTTTACTGATTTAAAATAAAGAAAACCTCCCATTTCAAGCCTTTGAAAGGTCATTTTCTCTCAAGATTGTGCTCCTAAAACCCCATTGTTTGTACTTACAACCACACTAGATTTTCCAGGGTAGAGAAGGCCATCGCTGGTATCCACGAGATGTTATTATGCTCCAAACCACTAAAAAACGTCATACATGTAATATATTTTATTTGAATTCATCCTTATACATATACATTTAAGGTCAAAGTTTAATATTTACATTTGCAAATGCTTTCCTTTATTTCAGAAATAAGGTGTTTTAAAATGATACCTTATTACTTATATTTACAACCGTGACTTATTTATATTTTATACTTGCCTGATTATAATCTTTAACGCGTGAAATGTTTTATTTTTCAAACTCAACGGTACTTGTTTGATCCATTGATTGCGCGTCGACCCTTTATGACGTCACTGAGAAATTACGTCGAACGTTTATGACGTGAGGAACCCGTGTTTATTTCAGAAATAAGATATCATTTTTAGAGTTTCATTTGAGTATGACATGAAGTCGGTCACGTGATCAAATCCTCTAACGCCCGAAGGGCGTAATAGTAGATTTGATCACGTACCGACTTCATGTCATAACCCAATGAAACTCTAAAAAATGATATTTTATTTCCTATATTTATATTTTACTTTTTTAATTCGCTTTACAAAGAAATATAGGCACTATTTAGACTTAGCTATGGAAATGCATCATGTGACGTCACAATCGGAACTTTCCAAATGTTTCCAAACGCAAGAAAGTCTGATTATGTGAGTGACCAACTGCATGACATTAAAAATTGAATTTCAGTTTAGTTAGTATTGTTATATAAGGAAAGATATTGGCAAATGTAAATATACGGATATAGATACGCATTACTTTTAAACGTTCGACGTTAGATTTAAATTTTGTACGATTTGAAGTAATTTTTTAATCGCAATAATCTTTTTTCTTACACCAAATGAATGAAAATTAAATTATAAGGAATGAAATATTAGCTACCCAATTTATACGGTATAAAGTGGGTTGGAACAGTTTACGCTTTTTTATAAACCGCCTCGCGGTTTATAAAGCGTAAACTGCCCCAACCCACTTTATACCGTATAAATTGGGTAGCTATTAAATTCATTCCTTAAATAAAAGAAAAAATTTGCAAATGTAAATATATAACACTATTGAAAGACATGTGTATCTATATCCGTATAAACACGGGTCCCTAATGTCATAAACGTTCGACGTAATTTCTCAGTGACGTCATAAAGAATCGACGCGCAATCAATGGATTAAACACGTGCCTTTGAGTTTGAAAAATAAAACACTTCACACGTTAAAAATTATAATCAGGCAAATATAAAATATAAAATAATTCACAAATGTAAATATAAGTAATAAGGTATCATTTGTAAACATCTATCGAGATATAAATAGGGGTTGGTACGAGATCATACTTCGGGCTTTATGGAATTTGATCTCGTGACCAACCCGTATTTATATCCCGATAAGATGTTTAAAAATGATACCTTATTTCTTAAATAAAGACTTATAAATGAAGAATACATTTCATCAATTCTAATTGATCTTGTATCAAAATGCATCAAAATGTTTAAAAAACCCAACATTTTCTTTGCGACACAATACACATGTGACGTGAGAACAATTAACATCTGTAAGAAATATGACTGTATATTTTTTTTAAACTAAAAAGTACGGGTCATCCAAACTGGAAACACCAAGGACTCATGACCATGAATCAAGACAAATAGGAATCTGCGCATCGCATTTGCGAGAACAGCTATTGAGATCTAGCTGAGAGGTAGTAACCACACTTTTCATCTCTAATGAAAACAGTCAGAGTTTTATTTCAAGGGCAACGATGATCTTGACCTTTTAAAATGACATTTATGTTGGATCAATTATTACACGTAGGACCTTCACAGGTTCGAATTCGTGTCAAATGGATGCAATGAGCAGAGAAAGCACACCAGAATAAAAAGACGATAATTTGAGAAGACCATATGACTTTATTACACTAAAATAAATTGATAAATTTTAAGAAGCTTTTTGACTGTATAGCAAACGAGATGACCACAATTTTTCCATCCTCAAATTTTCTTATTTATGTAGTAATATTCCACTATCACCTGCATATGGTGTTTATGTCCCCCAGTTTATTCAAAACTCAAGTGCATGCTCTGAGTAAGATCAATTCTCAATAACTGATGCAGGCTACTGACAAATAAGTTGATGTTTAAGTTGACGTTAAAATCAGCATTTCGTAAATTCTTTATAATGAACTTGTTAGGAAATACAACCTACCTTGGGTCGTAGTTTGGCTGGCGTGTTTCATACATTAGGCCTTTGTTTTTATACTATATTTGACTACGGATTATTCGGTCATCTTGATCAATACAGGGCGGATGTTTACTCCCCATAGGCACCTGATCCCTCTGGTATTTCAAAGGGGTCAATGTTTTTCTTCCCTGTTCACAAATTTGTATTGTTTGTAGTTTGTTTTTTAGATCGATCACTGTTATCATCACCTATTTCACTCTCTAAAATGCGTAATAGCAAGTCCTCATTATTACAGGCCCGTAGAACGCGGGGGGAGGGGGACTAGCTTTTTCTGAGTATAGTATTTTGCTATGTTAAATTTTCCTTTAGATGCTGTTTCCCCCAGCCCCACTTTTTGTTGCTCTAAGGTCGAGCACAAACAAATTCCAGGATTTGGTCAGTTAATTAGTTTTTTCCCTATTTTTTCTTTCTTTCATTTTCGGGAAGTTCCCCCCCGCCCCCCCCCCCCCCCCCCATCATTTTGAAACCGTTGCTACGGGCGTGCAATACATTTTGATCTTAGTTCCTACAGCACGGATATAAAGAGAGAGACTTTCAGATAAACGAATATATTTATATACAACTTCATATAGAATGTTCCAGGACCAAGTTTATCATTATTTTACAGTGCCGCATAGTTAGATAGACATGCAGAGCTTTTTAAAATTACGTTTACTTTGCCTCCGATGCACAGGCACTTATTTCTGTAATAAATTCTTGACCCATAGTATAATAATAATAATTATTATATAATTATTATTATACTATGGGTCTAAAATTTATTACAGAAACAAGTGCCTGTGCTCCGATGTTCTGAAATATGAAAATCAATGTCCTTTCATTGTTTTGAAAAAAAGTGAATGAAATTATCTTGGCACTAACAGTATATGAAATTATCTTATTTTCACATTCAGTAACAAAAATGAAATTATCTTATTTTCACATTCTGTAACAAAAGCACGATATCGTGGTTGCTTCACCTGTCCACTACTAAAATTGATGATCAATCAAAGTTTGTACAAAAAATGTTTTTCCAGTTCAGGTAAAATTTTGAGCAAATTTATGAACAGATGAAGTAGCTAATTCACATCGGCTATTTATGTCTCAAGCCATGATTTTGGATTTTCTGTTAAAATGTATGTAATTGTCAATAGAGTTTTAATTAGGTGTTGAAATATTTACATTAACCACTTATGATATAAAAATGCTCCTTGTTTTTGCTGCGTTAGAGGACTGCAGGAGCCTGTCTCTGGTCATTGTTTCATTTTACGTCTGTCAGTAATAGTCATACTACTGAGGATCTTAATTAAAAGAAAGATTGAAATAATACGTTTCAATGGAAAAAAAACCCCACAATTTCAAACTCGGTCTCTGGAAATAAAAATTAAAAGCTGTTTAGTACTTACAAAGATGTTGTGTTGATAGGGACATCTGGAATGCTGGTGAAGCCTTTGTAGCTGCAATCTATCTCTGGTCTTATGTGGCACACACATATATCGCACACATCTTCTGATGCTACAGGGACCAAAATCACATAAAACAGGAAATCTTTAAGATTCAACATTGTTTAAATCAACTTCCGATTTATCTTAAATTCCACATGTACAACTACGTCAAACACATTTGTTATGTTTTTTTTCACATAAGTCTACAGCATCAGCGATACTGAACATTGTATTTAGCGTAAACAATTGCAGCGAATTAAGTCACCAGTGTTTCAGATATATTGTACTTCATTATGTTTTGTGTGCTACGAAGTAAACAAAATACTTCGTCGTATGCATTTCACCATATATTTGCTGCGCTACATGTCCAAAAAGTAGTTCACATCTATGCCAAGGTCGGAAAGCTTCTTAAACATGTAAAAAGAAATGGTTTATGTATGTTAGGGTACATGGTAATTGAAATAATTTCTTATACAGCAACGTCTCGTTTATTAACTGCATGATGGGTGGTTCAAGAAAACTGATAAAACTTATAATAAAGTCACTGCGCTTTTAGCAACGATCACCTTTATAAAATATGCCGACTTTTTCCTCATAATAATAACCATTGCCACAGATTTGGCGTTGGTTCTATATCCACAAACAAACTCACTGTAAAAATAGGATGGACACAAAACCCGTAAAAATTGCTGGCGACAACGTACGTCACATAATACAGCTAATTAAAAGAGGGATAAACACCAAAATTGGAAGCCCCATCGCGTCTTAGTTTAAAAATGTCTAATTTGAAATTTTCTATTATAAATATTACATTTAGTTGAGTGTAACATTGAAAATTTTAACCCCAAGAAAACCATTGTCAACCGAGGCGCAGCCGAGGGGTGAAAATTTTCAATGTTACACTCAAATACATGCAATATTTATTATATTAATATATTGAATGTTTTATACAAATACCTATAACAGTGACCTTGTGCGCAAAGAATCTGCGCAGTTAATATTTTTTGGAATATCACCCGTCGTCAAGCAATGTTGACTGTTGCTACGCTGGGCGGGGGGGGGGGGGGGGGGCGTGGCTTCATTATTCAGTGGGTAATAGTGTTTTTTAACAAATGTTTCTGGACGAATCAGATTCAACTAATTTACGTGAAAGTATAATCTAAAAAATTATATTTTAAATTGTACTTAAATTATATAATTCACACAGGTTTCAATATTTAAAGATGTCCTCACGTACCTTAATCTTGATGCATTGAATCGCATAGAAAAGACAGAAAATGTAATGTGAGACAGTGTAGATATATTTTAGGCTAAAACATGAAATAATTCACCACGGCAGAAAGAGTAAAACGGCTATAGTTTTGATAAATTAATTAATGACGTCTTTCTTATTTGAATCCGTTTCTCCCGATATATATACAGTAAAACTCGGTTATAGCGAAGTTCTGGGGACCAGAGAATTTATTTCGCTATATCCGTAATTCGTTATATCCGTATAACAAATTCGTTAAAGTATACATAGCTACTTTGCAATATGGGTAAATATTGCATGTAGTTGAGTGTAACATTGAAAATTTTCCCACTCTCGAAAACCATTGTCAACCTCGGCTGCGCCTCGACACTTTTTTTCCAAACATAATATTTTATTATTAATTGAAAATGTTATTTTCTTTTAGCATAGTTAAGTCATGGAAATTTTGTAATGTATGAAAAATATTAATATGTTGAAAAAAATTGAAAAATATCCCCCTCCCCGAAATGGGATTTTTGAGTTTGGTGACAGTTTTCCTTTCATTTTGTTTAATTTGCTTGTTTTTTTTTTCAGGTAAGTTGAAAAAAATTTTCCTGGTTGTCCCCTTTCAAAAACGATACTATGCCCCTGGTTCAAGCACCCGGAAAATATGTCGGATCCACGTCTAGTAGTGCGCATCCCTAGACGAATCATCCTTGCAATTTTTTGCCATCATAGGCTTATAATTAGCTGTGCATGAACATTCTTTAAAGCAACACGAGCTGCAACTCTGATGTCGGAAATTTTTTGTGCAATATTGTAATTAACTTATTCAATGACAGAAAAAGAACGTTTATAAACTTCTGTTGTTCATATTTGTGATGAAAGAACTATTTATAAGCTTTGATTGAAGCAAAATGTTACATTATTGTCATCCTGTACATTATTGATTTCTTTATATATAATACTATTAATTCCATTGTACAGAATTTTTTCTTCTGAAAAAAATTGATACTTTATTTTATTCTACTTGATCATAAAGGTGTAAATGACAGATTCATAACAGCACTTTTTAACAGCAAAATAAAATTCTCAAAAATGCAGCTCATATTGCTTTAAAATCTATAACCCGGCTAATTTCCCGGAAAATGTACATGTAAGTCAAATCCAGCGTCTGATGCAAGTAAGTAGTGTGCATATCTAGATGCATTATGCATTTAAGTTACGTACGGGTAGAGCTTAGTTACTTGGTAATGAATCTGCTCCAAAATCTTGAACCTGGTCATTTATCTTGAATTCAGCATCCAAAGTAAGGCTGGTAGTGTACATCCCTAGATGCACCATTCATGCACGTTTGGTCCAAGTATGGCAAATAGTTACTTATAAAAGAATAGAACATCTCCAAAAACCTTCAGTTCAATGAAAGTCAAATTCAGCATCCGATGTTTGTCCAGTAGTATGCATCTCCAGATGCATTGCTCATGCAAGTTGTCATCATATGGCTTCTATATACAAGGGAGTTAACTTGCTCCATAAACTTCAGCATCCAAAGAGAGTTTATAGCTAGTATAGTGTGCATCCTTCAATGCATCACCTATGAAAGTTTGGTCCACATTACTTTGCAATGTACTTGCTCCAAAAGCGTAATCTATTTAATCAAATAGAAAATGCAAGTCAAACCAGCAACGAAGGTTCATCTTTTAGTGTGCATCCCTAGTTGCAATGCATCATCCATGCAATTTTAGTCACCATAGCCCTTATAGTAATTTGAGAATGAGATCTGCTCCTTAACAGTAACCCAGTCACTACACTGGAAAATAAAGGCTTAAAATGCCGTGTCTGAAAAGTGACTGATTCAGTTTAATATACCAGATGCAGCATCCATGCAACTCGATCCGATCAACTTACATGTATGGCATAGAGTTACTTGAATATAACCAACTTGGGACAAAACTGACCCTAGGTTATAGCAGAAACTAGCTCCCAAGACTTGTCAAGGCTTCATAATGCCAAAAATAAACACAACAATGATTTAAAATGCACAAAAATTTTATTACACTGAACATTCCGAATATATTTATACAGGATTCACAAATTAACACATCATTAATTTTAAACTTTGCTCATCAGATTAACATTCTATATCAATTGTTCTTGAGGTACACCTTTAAAACACAGCATATTTAAACTGCTGCACAAAAGAAATCTTCCTTGTATGTACCAGAGATGTGCAAGTTTGGTTGGTATAAACTAGCTAGGATATCAATCAAATTCAGGTAAGATGTAAGGATCCAAGCATTAGACTAAGCATCAACAGATGTATAAATATAAAATTTGGTTTAGATACCACCTGTAATAAAGAACAGCTTCATGCAAGTACAGTCTTTTACCTCACGGAGGGATAAAATGGACAAACATCCAAAGACTGCACTAGTCTAAGCAATAATACATGGTATATGCAGGTTTGGTTTACAAACAACTTGAATTAAGATGAAAACAATCCATAAACACTGCATGTCCTTAAACAGTAAATAAAGTATAAAATGGTGGTCATATGAAGCATCCACATCAAGAACCAGAATTTAATGTAAATGCAAACCTCTTTGTGTGATTTGCTGTAATACATTTGTGATGACAGGTTTGATTGCCGGTGGTCATATACTGTAGCTCGGATAGTAGAGCACCTGTCTAGTGATTCAGGGGCCCCAGGTTCAAATCCTGGTCCATCACATTTTTTCTCCTTTCCCGTTACACATTTAAATCATCCACAGTCTGTGCCCTATAAGTCAGATGCACCCTCATCAACAGATATTAGACACTGCATTTATAAATGCAAAACATTTGCAAGTTTAGTTTAGATTTCATACATAACTGGATACAGGCCTCATTATTTTGCACACCTAAGACAAATAGTTCAAACACTTTCCTTAAAGCACACTAAAAACAAGGTTCATTTTAAATGCAGTAGCTACACATTAAGATTTAATTAATACAAATTGTATGCCATAAAAAATAATTCTACATGTACATAAAGCAAATCAAAAAGGAACAAACACATACTGTACAAATTCACAAAATTATCACTATACTCTCCAGGACCCTACCCCCCCCCCCCCCCCCACCCCCCGCGTGGAGAAATCATGGATGCAATTACATCTTTGGTACAAAAATTTTGGAAGCCTGCAAGTCTGCAGCAGATGCAAGAGAAACAACTTGAATAATGGACCCTCATCCCCTTACAAACCTAAATTTAAATGTATTGTGAAAGAAATTTGACTAATTTGCAAGCTCTAGAGAGACAATACCCATTGCTTCTGCATTTTATAATGTGAAAAGAGTCTCTCCTTAATTACAATTTCTAAAGCATAAAAAAGTTATCAGTAAGTCAAAATGCTGCATCCAAAGCACATCTCAAACTACTATTCCCTCCAAAATGAAAGCTGTATCTTCTGGCATTTAAAGTTACATGTATTAATTAAATTAAAGTTTTTGAAAGGATCAAAAGTTAAAACATAAGGTTCTGGTCATCTGGTCAACAATCAAAGTATTTGAAAAAGTCTTCTAATAGGTAATGCACTTGTGAAATATCAAATCCCTATCTTCTCTCTTTCAGAAGTTAAATGTTTGAAAAGTCAAACCTCAAGGTCATGAGGTCAAAAATCTAAGTATATCTGAAAAGGTTTTGTCATAGGTAATGCACATGTGAAGTATGAAAACCTTATCTTCTTATTCAAAAGTTATTATATTGTGTTAGCAAAATTTAAATTTTGAAAAGTGGTCAAACTCCAAGGTCCAGAGGTCAGAAATCATTGTACAATTTGAAAGGTCACAGGCAATGCACATGTGAAATATGAAAACCCTCTTTTCTCTCATTCAAAAGTGATGACTAAGGTTAAAGTTTTTGTGGCTGGCAGATGGATGGAAAGACAAATGAGATTTAATGTTTAATGTCCCCCTGCTTTTGCAAAAGTGGAACCAAAATTTTAAATTTAAAAACCTG